AAGGACGTGCCTGTCTCGTACCTCTTCTGCGAGCGCGACCTCACGGTGCCACCGGCGATTCAGCAGGCCGGCATCGACATGGTGGAGAGGGTGACGGGCGCGCGGGTCGACGTCACGCGCGTCGACTGCGATCACGTCGCGCCGTTTAGCGATACGGCGACGTGTGTGGATTGGATTGTGGGCATGGCTAATCGTCTGGAGAAGGTGTAGCGGCAACTTGAGCATGCCGTCTCGTCTGAACGGTTACTTCATAAAAATATCTCAGCATCGAACCACCTGGCTAGATGGATTATAGAAACAGCAATATATCCCGCGTGGCACGCTGAGACAAGTCCTCCTAAAAGAGAAATGAGGCGATGGTTGAGTTCGTTGTCGGCTAAGAGCAGACAGTAAAGGAAGTTACGGTTATGGAACTCATGTAGTATGAAGCCCGGGTGAGCCTCAAGGATCATTATATCTTATCAATGATCTTCACCTTCACTTCCCCGGCCCCTCGTTTTGGCGCTCCTGTGAGTCGGATATGATGTACCTTTACATCGTCCGGTGAAGTATCGTGAATCTCCATGTTGAATGTGCCAATAAGTTTGGCTAAAGTCAAGTACATTTCTGCATATGCCAAACTGACCATACATCGTTAGCTCCAGAGGACTCATGAGAGTAAAGCACGGATTGGGCAATGGTTCTTACGTGATCCCGAGACACTGCCTGGTGCCCTTCGTGAACGCAATCATGAATTTGTCGAGGTTGACGCCCTGCTTTGACGCCTGAACCCAGCGGTCAGGGTCAAAGCGATGAGGGTCGGGAAATATAGACGGGTCCAGGTGGACGAGAACAGTAGACATGCTGACGGGGATCTGCGTCACGAATTAGTTGGTATAAATCATTTTGCCAAAGGTCGTATGAGAAACCTACGCCAGGAGGTATTACGTAGTCTCCATACTTCAGGGCCTTCTCAGTTGATACTCTCGGAAGTCGTACCGCTGGACCGTGAGACAGTCGCAGGCTCTCTTGGATCGCTCCGCTCTGTAGGCATATGGTAAGCAACTTCGACTTTACGCTTCGTCTCAGTCTTCGAGTTTTCGAAGAAGCTGGAGCACAACAGCCAAAAAGGAGAAGAAAGAAAACAACACCTACCAGATACGACAGAGATTCGAGCTGGGAGTAGGTATATTCTCGGTTTGGCACACTTGGCAAAGTGTCCAACTCCTCTCGCAGCTTGTTCAAGATGGCTTTGTTGCTCAATATGTGATACATGCCCACGCTGAGGGCTCTCGCCGTCGTTTCTGTGCCAGCAAAGATGATCGTCGTGCCTTCGTCTCCGAGACGATCGAGGGTTCTCTCCTGCGCGGGCACGGTCGGATCTTCCAGTGCCTGAACGATGACAGAGTTGCTTGGTGCTTTATCTCCGTTGGCTTGAGACGCACGGATATTGTCTTTGATATCTTCCTGGGACGAGACAAGATATGAAGCGCCAGGGTGAATCAATCGCATGATTGGAACAGGCAGCCGTTTGATAGTATCCGCGACCCATGGAAAGAATCTCGTGAAGTGGTAGAATCGGATCAAGCCCAGAATGGCATCCCGCATTTCAAATTTGAACGCTTCGTTGCCCAAAAAGTCCGAGTTTTGTCCATAAAAGTAAGTGGTCACAATGTCCGCGGTCAGCGCAGCAAACGCCGCGTCCAAGTCCACGACCTGTCCAAGTCGCATGGTCTCTTCGAGCCGCGAACACAGCCGGCCAATGCGCTCGTAAATTGCCGGCTCGAGCCGGACGACAGCAGCCTTTGAGAAGTATGGGCTCAATATGGAGCGCCGCAATCGATGGGCTTTATGCTGTACGGTGGCCAGACTGGCTTTTGGGACCGTGAACGCGGCCACCGCATCACGGTACTTGTCGGTGCTTCGGTGGTTTCCGGCATACACAGTGCTGTAGTAGTGGGGATCAAGTATGTGAAGCTCATTGGGATTTACTCTAACAATAGGACCTATAGTCAGAAACACAGGAGGAGCGTTAGTGCTCATTCTCGGGCCCGCCATCCTTGACAATGCCACGCAGGAAGGACGGGGGAGTTTCGTGTCTTATCACTCACCGTATTTTCGGTGCATCCTCTCCACCTCCCACATGAACATTCCATCTCGGATGACATCGTGATAAAACTCGTGGAAAGGGCCGACGGCTGCCAATTTGGGCCCAGGGAAATCTCGGAGAGGATGAAGATAGAGGTTATAGATGGCCTTGAGGAAAATGAAGACTATGAAAACAGCACCAATGACTGCGAAAGTCGCCCGTCCGTGCAGCTCGATGGCTGGTGTTCCTGCTACCATTGTATCTTTCGCGTATTCTGGAATGTATGGATTGTCTTCAAGGAAAGATAACCGGCACAAAGAAGAGCAAGCCTGTCTGTCTTGCTGGCAATGATTGAGAGGTGTAAGCAAGATAATATCCACTTCAGGTGTCAATTTATATGGGTCTGGCTTACACAGTACGGATAAGCATGTTGCAGTAGAAGTCATCCACAATTCAAGATAGAGGATTGGTGTTCGCCAAGGCACAAGTCAAATAGCTTCACTACGATGACAGTGAAGTGTTCCTGAGTCTTCTAATCATCATGTTCCTTTCATCTCTCCCTGACAGCAGCAAAATGGCAGATAAGCAATTTCCCATGAAGGAATATGTTGCGGCTCTCGCTGAATTGCTCGAAACCATTGATTACCAGGACGAGAATTACAGCCACGAGCAGCGCGTCAATACCTTACGACATGTTTACTACCACACGGCCAAACACTTTGACGACCCCATCGAAAAGGCCGCGCTGGAGGTCGAGCCTAAGCGGTTACAGGCGGTCATGCGGACCAGCACGCTGGTGACCGTGTATTGCTGGGCAAAGTGCCCTCTCGACGTCATGGTCGGCGTATCCATCTACTTTGTCTACATCGTCATGCTGGACGATTCTAGCAAGATACCCGCCGAGCAGATGACCACCTTTTGCGAGGATCTCATCAAGGGACGGGCGCAGAAACATCCCTTCTGGCAGCGTATGAACGCACACCTGACCAGTTTCCTCCGCCTCTATGGCGGTTTCTGTGGCATGACGATTTTCCGCAGTACGCTGGATTTCTTCCAGGGCTGCTGGATCGAACAGAAGAACTTTGGCGGCTTCCCCGGCTCTGGTTACTTCCCCGACTTCTTGCGTCGGCTGAACGGCCTGGGCGGAATTACCAGCGCTACTCTCTTCCCAAGCTCTGAGTTCGACGAGGATCTCGTCTTTGAAGAAATCGTCACAGCGGTCGCCCAGATGGAACCGCAATTGACTCTCTGTAATGACCTGACCTCCTTCTACAAGGAATTCGACAACCCCCGTGATCAAAACAACCTGGTCGGCAACCTTGCCCGTTGCAATCGAGTGGGCTGGGAGGTTGCTTTCAAGAAGCTGGCGGATGATACGATCCTCTACTGCAAGCAGCTGGTGGACGTCTTCCGCGGCAGAGATCCCAAGATCGAGGCGATCATACGGGCCTTTGTGCACGGGTACGTCACCTGGCATTTCTGCGATCCTCGATACAGAATGCATGAGGTATATGCACAGGTGGGCCAAGACGAGGACGCCTCCAAGTTCCGGCGATTCTACGAGCGGGCTACCAGCGTCGGTCAGATCGATCACATGCTCTGGGCCAACCCTGAAGATCGCAAGCACGGCTACGGGATGGAGACTCTGAATCATTCCTGTGGTGATCTCCTCAACAGCATACCTAACCACCGAGATCAGCTCGGGAAAGCTGCTAATGACCAAGGGTTATATACGCTAGTTTCTGTACTTCCTATTCCGCGCTTGGAAGGGTAGTATTTTCTTGAGGCGAAGCAATGGTAGTTGAGTATCGTTATAGACCATTTTGCCACAGTTCTGCCCGGACAATCATGGCCTCCAAGTTCCCAGTACTCTGGCACCAACTACGTGGTGTTCTGGTGCGTCTTCGCGCGGCGGCCAACGCCGATAACTGTGGTATAACTATAGGTGGATCAAGACAGCCTCCTACCTAGGATGCCATATGAAAGGATTGAGGACCAAATCATTGAATAACTGAATCCTGAACGTAAATTCACTGCCTTCTTTTGAAATTCGTTGACGCTTCGATTTTTTTTTTTGGAGTAAAAGCTCTATTGTATAAAAGGATTGCTCACGGCACGCTGAGGCCGCAGGAAGGCCGCACCGAGGCAGAGGCCAGACACTTCCTCTTGAATGTATGGCAGCTTATGAAGATAATGGAGAGCTTGTAGAGGCTTGACTAGCTTGAACAAGATATCTTAAAGATAGAGCTGCATGTCGCGACAACCTTGCGGCCAACATGTCCGGCGTATGTAAGCAGTAAGGAACCATCTAGACTTGTGGCAGATGATCATAATTGTTTCATTTGCATTACGAGGATTCTCGAAAGCGGACGGAGCTGGTGGCTCCTGCCACCAATCATCGTCTTCATGATCGGTGGCTAAATGCATGGTGATGTACCTCGGACGTTCCTTCCTGCTTCTCAAAGGTACAAACAGACCAGTCACCACCTACCAGCGCAGACTGATAAAGTCAAGTAAAGACCTGGCTTGCAACAACGAAACCCAGCTTGGTGTAGTGGCAGCACATCCGGTACCTGGGCTTGGGAGGTACCACACATATGTGGATGCTCTGTCCAGGGGCGGAAGACCCGAGTTCGATCCTTGGAGCTGGGATTCATTTTTCCTTTTTTTGGTTTGCTTTATCTTGTTTTCTTTTTATATCCTCTGCTCTACATGATGGGTGACTAAATTCACGGTGACGAACTTCGGACGTTCCTTCCTTCAAGGTAGAAGCAGGCCAGTCACCAACGACCAGCCCAGACAACAGCCTAGGATTCGAGAAGAAGGAACGGCCTGAGATTTCACAGTTTGTATGTGCGTACGTCATGAAACCCGCTACTGGCTAGACCTGTGTTGATAAAGTGAAGTAAAGACCTGGCTTTCAACGACGAACCCCAGCTTGGTGTAGTGGTAGCACATCAGTTCCTGGACCATCAATGTACATACCTACCGCACATGCGCGGAGGATCTTGGTTCAGGGTTGGAAGGCCCGGGTTCGATCCCTGGAGCTGGGATTTTTTTCTCTTTTGGTTTGCTTTATTCTTTTTGTTCCTCCGCTTCTTTATGTTCCTCCGCTTATCGAGACCTTTCCAGGCCAAGAAGTTCTCCATCTGAGCTTAACCAGCGCAGGTATGGAGCCGGTCGATGACGTGGAGTTTGCAACTAATTGTGCCCATCTTATGGCAGACTCTGTGCACCAAGCTGGGTGGGCCGCGTCAACTAAACGACCAGTGCCAGACTGTTGGGAGTTGACCCCATACAGGCAGTCCTGGATACAGTCCATGTCACGAGCTATATGATACCATTATACAAACAGGGCGAAGAGCATGCCTGCAATTATTGGGAAACGATCGCCAACCACGGCTTATATGACCACGGGCCAGGAACGTGTATGGCAGTGTATGCCGTTGTCACAGTATCGTACCTACTGGAACTTGGTCACGCTATGGGTACGACAATGTTGATTGGAAAAGCTCTAGATAGTTTCTGACGGTGTTGGGTTGAAAGAAGTAATATTATTTCTTTGGATTTATTTGACTTTAGTCGCTTCTTCCCAAGGTGAAGAAAGCTTCTATCTTTTCCTTGTACTCTGAATCATGCTCAATCGTTTCCCCAAAGCATTCGAAATTGCTTGACGCCTGTCAGGACTCCGGGGCACAACCACAATCAACGCGCCCGGGCTGTAGATGGATGTAGGGTTCAGCTTGATCCGATAATTTCTCATCAGAGGTTTTTGAAATGCGTATAATGATGTCGAGGCAGTATGTATCTGGCGTGGCCATACTTGCTGGCGTTGGTCGTTGGTTCGGCAGATCACCGCGTACTGGATAAAGGTGACCATTGTGTTCAAGGTCCTCTGCCAGAAAGAATGTACAAGCAAGGTTTCCAGTTCATTATCTCGAACTCTGTCTTCGGCTGATGAAAGCTCCCGGGTCCTCTACTCGTCATGGAATGCGTCGTAAATAAGCTCTGCCAGCACGAACTCGTCGTCTGTCGACGGCTCAATGTCGTCATTGTGGTTCGTGATGTTGAACATCTCCCAATGGTTCTCGACAGCCTTCAGGATGGCTCGGCGCACCTCGGGTCGGTAATCGTGTACTGCTCGCAAGAGCCAGGAGTCGAAGTTCGCATCCCTAACGGCAAACAAGAGTTAGTCAAATGTCACAATTTCATGGAGTGGGTGCACGCACAGCTCTGCGCGGATGGAGCCGCGAATGGTATCTCGGAACTTGTGGAGATCCTCCTGGCCGAGCCATAGGCCGATCGCAGTGAACTTCTCGTCATGGATCCGTTTGTCAACAATGGCCATGGCGACTTTGATTTTATGGTAGAGCCTCTGAGGGCGGCGGTCCGGGTTCAGCGGCGCACTGGTTTTGGATTCTGTGCCGTCGTCAAGGTCGGTCATGATCTCGTTCCGAATTGTTGCGGTGTTGCTGATTGTAGAAAGGGCGGTCAAGTTTTGTCCCATCTGTGGACGTGGTGCTTGGGTTCCATCTGTAAAAAGTTCTGCGAAGCTCTGGGCTTTTATCTTGCAGATTGGCGATGTTTGACGACAGTTGGTTCTCTGACGTGTTCAGTGATTGAAGAAATAGAGGTGGTGGGGTGATTGGATGCAAGAATACCCATGACAATCTAACCGACTGGCATAAGAGTCGTCGTCTCTAGCCCAGCAACGCCGTAACCCACCGCAACTCCTGACTGGTCGGCTCGACTGACAGTGAGTACAGTGACCTACACTTTAGTCTCATTGGCTGGTGCAGACGAGGGCTGGCTTATCGGAAACGCAGGAAGGGAACAATCAGGGTTGATGGCAGTCAGGTCTTCGTGGATGCTACGTATTTGTTGGCCCAAGATTTGACAATTACAAATTTCGGACAAACAGTGAACAGTGGCCCCGGCTATCAGGTTTCGCTGCCTCTTCACAGCAACAAACATTCGGTCATAGCTGCTCTGGTCATTCCGGCTTAGGTCGTTTATTGCCAGTTTTGTTGCACCACGGCATTGGCATAGTTACGAGTGGCCCTTGGATGTCTTGTGCTTGTACTAGTATATACTGTTGACGACGTCACGAAATATGAGGTAACTCAGCTGGGTAGCAGCGCAAAGCGGTACGCAAAAGATTGGCGTAGAGAGTCAGCAATCTGTACAGGAATGTGATCAATCACCAGTTTGTCTAGGGCAGCGCGGACGGAACGTCGAGTCTTTTGATGTCTATGGTCGTATGTGTCTGATTACGTCTAAAAAGGGTATATACTGCCGTCATTGACTGTTAGTCCAGCATGGAAGGCCGATTTATAGGCCCAGCTCTTGATCAAGACCTCCGTGCGAAACGTATTCAATGTAAAACCATTCAATATGATGTCGCAGCCATGTCAAGCTTGAATCCAAGTGTTCTATCCTGCCCAAGCTGACAGACATTTCTGGCAGGGGCTCATCGCTCTCGTCTCCCTCAAACTCGCCCTGGTCGTCCTCAACGGGGTCCCAGGAGACTGAGAGATAAGTACCAAATGGGTCCGTTTGAACCTCTGATGGGCTCTCCGGTCGGAATCTCTTTGTTCCAGAAATATCAAGAAGCGCTTCCTCCCACTGAGATAAACATCAGTATTAGAGGTCAATGCAATGAGACGGATAACAACGAAGAAGCATACACCTTGACTCAAGCGCGTGAGCACCTTGATGTGAGACCAGTAACTGCTCTCGGTCCTGGTCGTGGGTATATACCACTCTCTCAAAGGGGCGCTGATCCTCGAGGCAACTTCGGCTTCATGGTGCTCCCGGCACCTGCGGGCGCGCTCCTCGTCAGTGGCTGCCGCCGCCATCGGCATGCCGACGACCTCGATGCGGTCCGGTGCCTCTCGGCCTACACTAGCGCGATGTTTCCACGTATTTTCATAAATGACTTTAGCCACGCGGCGGATGTGGTCGGCACTGGCAGCCTCGGGCGTCGTATCGTAGATGCAGAGGGCAAAGAGAGGACGAGGGTCAGACCCGTACCACGCCGCGAAGGTCTGGCTGCTGTCATGGCTTGGCGCAGCCTCAACCACTATTCGTCGTGACTTGCCTATTCGGGCCATGTTTGGTGAGGTGAAAGATTGGGAGTGGAATGTCAGTGAGCGAAGGTTAATGGTGGCTTGGGGGGCTGATCTTATTTGTATTCCACACTAGGCATCCGTAGCTCAAGGCGCCGAGATGCCCCACAATCGATGCACCTTGGTCGTTCGCGATAATCCGCATTATAGTATACACCTTAATATGATGAACCTTCTTGCCGGCGGTGGAATACTGCATGCGATCTCCAAGCAAAGTATTTAATTCCCGAGTCACCAGGACAGATTGGCAGTTGAGTAATCTTTGCTTCCCTTGTTCTTCAAATCATGAAAGGCTCACTTACACTGGAATTCTGCCTCGGAATGAGGCAAGATGTCAACCTTTCATCGCTTTTCACTCCTCCCGCCTGAGCTCCGTCATCTCGTCTGGTCCCTTGCGGCCGATCCGCGCATCGTCCAGGTCCGCGTCATGCCAGACAGCCCCGGCGAGGTTAATCGACTGATTTCGTGGACACCCAGTCCAGCAGTTGTCCAGGCCTGCCAAGAGGCCCGATACTACGGTGCCTACAAGAAGGCCCTTACCGAGCTGTGTCCGCCCAACGTCGTGTCCTCGGAAGCACTACGAATCGGTAGTCACTATGTAATAGTTGCCGCCGAAAGGCCCCGGCGTCATTACGTATGGCTCAATTTCGACCTCGACATCGTCTCGATCGGGCTGAACCCGATCAAGCCTTTCGCCCCCGTCGCCTCGTCCGTCCAGCGGCTCATGTTCGAGTCTCGACGTTGGCCACCGTGGACTCCATCGTCCTCGGCTGAGGACATACAGGAGCTCTTAAAATGGACAAATACAAAGGAAATCTTCGTTCATGAGCATTACGACAGGCTTTGCGGGCTCGGCCCGCCACCTAATTTCGCCTGGCCCTGCGACCAGGAGAACTTTTGGATCTGTTCAAGCAACATTATGTACAGGGGCTCGATCATGTGTCCGACGCTTGGCTGGTGCTGTTGCGAAGTCGATCATGGAGAGAGGCTTGTCGGAGAAACGACGTCGCCGTGGGTCCGCTTTGTTCGGCAATGCTTGTACATTGCGATACCAGAAATGGCGCAGGTATACTGCAAGCCTATGGCCGGTGAAGCAAACTTCGCTACTTGAAGCAGAAAATGTCATAAAGAATGGCTGGGATATTCGCATCGCCGCCGGGTGCTTTCGTCTGCCAAGGTTCTGCAGATGCCTTGTGTTGCCGTCTGCCAGCAATATCATCTACTCTCAAAGATGCACACTGGGAAGATGCCATATTTGAGTATGACGTCGAGCTTACTTTCTGCGATCGAAATGTCAGATACGCCTCCGTTGCCTTTCTCCTTGGGGCTACGCCTACCATCCAGGACATTTTCTAAGACTCAACTCAGCTATACACAGGATAGTAGTATACTGGCCTTCACTGAGGAATATATTTTTTCTAACAGTCTATTTATGCATTATATCGGGTACTGCACTTTCTCCAAAGCTGTTCGTAACATTGCCTGGCGAACGGCGATTGACGAATGACGACATCAATCGCCTGCGCACGGTCTGCAAGGACTTTTGGAACAAACTTGATCGAACAACGACGCAACAACCCAAGAGGCTCCCCTTCGTTACTATACACAGCTGTTCACGTGCAAGCGACATGCTACATGAACCCGATGACCCTGGACTTCCAATCGCCACGCTTATTCGGGGAAAGAGGTGCTCCTCCTAGAGAAACGGTCGATCTGGAGAAGTGTAATGGTTTCCCTCCTCATCTGAAGCAAGTAATTAGTTTAAGCAGACCGGGACGACCGCCAGGTCGATTACATTATCCCACATGTATTGCGCCTCGAGGTCATTCACGACGCCTGGTGTAAGCCGCCAACCCTGGATTTCATTTGAAGAAGGTTCTTGGATGGGTGCCTCGCGCGCTGGAAATTCTTAGCCAATGTAACGA